CGGGTCCCAGCTGTCCACGCCACCGAGGGGGCGCGGGGGGGGAAGCCAGCGCCGAGGCCGCAGGGAGAAGACGCCTGGTCGCCTGCGTCCGGTGAACTGAATGTAGGGAGCCTGGCATCGGCCACCAGGTCAAGAACGAGAGTTGCTCTCGAGTGTGCAGTGTGGCCCGGCCGGCCGAGCGCTTGCCGCGCTCATCGCTGTTGGGGATGACCTCGTCTGCCGGGGATCCGGCCTTCGCGCTGGATTAGCCAAGGCCCCCGGGTGCCCGGAAGAGCCCAGCAGCCCTGCGCTGGGGGACCGCTAGCCTCAGGCCACAGAGCCGCAGCTGGCGGTGGCCAGTCGGCAGCAGGAGGGGAAGGGTTCAGCCCCAAGCTTAGCCGTCAGCCCGGCCCACTGCTTCACTCTGGGTCCAGGAGGTGGCCCTGTGTCCCAGCGAACAGCCCCCTCCTCACTGTCGAGCCAGGAGAGCGTGGGGCCACAGCCCCAGGGCCCCCGCCCACTTTGCACACCCGCTCTCTGGCCCGCGCCCACCCGTTTACAGCGTCCCTGTGTATGTCGGACTGACTGTATAGAATTATAAATCTGTCTATATCGACTTGTCCATGTACGTCTATTAAAACAATAGTCCGAGCGTGCTAAGCGCCACTGAGCCCCGGCTGCTTCATTCCCCTGAAGAGGGAGGCCAATGCACGGGGCACTGCACCGCCCTGACACTGTGGGTAGGAGGGAAGATCCCAGGTAGTCCCCACAGGAGCTCCCCACCCTATTCCTGCGTTCCTTGTCTCAGCACTGTGTCAGGCGACCTAGCGGAGATCCCTCTCCTTCCAAGGCAAGAACTCTGCAAGCTCTCAAGCCGTGCCTGGTTGACCCTCAGATTCCCAGGGTGTTTGACCTGCGGTGCACTGAAAACCCCTTTAGGGCTGGAGCTGTCTGCTCTCCCGAGACCCCTCCCCTCGTCCCCCATGGAGCCCAGATCTGGGTGTTCTGGGAGGACTAGGGTGGGAGCACCAGATGTTCCAGAGTCTAGCCAGATTCTGCCTCTGCCTGCTCTAATGCTCCGACTACTTATTAGCTTCCACCCAGGGCATTTGACTCTGCGGAGAAAGTGTCCCTTACCCTGGGCTCACTTCTCACTTCTCTTCTATCTCAACTCATGGAGGCTGCAAGCCGCCTCTGACCCCCACCCCCCCACACCCCTGCCTTTTGGAAACTTCTCAACAAGACCAGCCTGTAAACTGCCTGTAAAATTCTGCTTCCCTTAAGTAAGTCACTTCTAATGGCAAAACAAAATGTTTGCAGCTGCTGCGGGGGAGGAAGGAGGGGCTCCCACTTTGCTTCCGTATCACCTTGTGGTGGAGACTGGCACTGCCCTGGAGCTGGACTCAGGCAAGCCCTGGCTGGGATGGGCACAGCCACAGCATTACTCACGAGGGAAGGGCAGTCTCAAACCAGGTCATCACCAGCCTTATGTGTGGCTCTAGGAGTCTGTAATTGGGCCAAGGTCACACTAAGCAAATAGGCCTTGAGACTCCAAAGCCTGGCATCTTCTCATGGGTCTTCCACCTCTTCAGATGAACCACGGATGGGCCCTTCTTAGAGCGTAGGTCAGCCTCAGGCTGGGACTTGCAGTGTAGGCTTCTGCTGCATAGCCAGGGTCAGATACACAGGCTGGGGGAGGATGGGGGGGGGCCATTGGGGGCGGGGGGCGGCAGCCCGCCCCCCCCCCCCCCCCCCCCCCCCCCCAGCAGCAACTCTGGAAACATAAACAAAATCACATCTGGATTCACAGAGTGCCTCCCCAGCCCCACACATTTGCCATGCCCTGTGGGTTCTGGTCTCAGTGGAAGCTAGGAAGGGAGACCTACTACAAGGTGGGGCTGTAAGAAAGGGGAGCAGAGAGAAAACCAGAAAGCCAGGCACAGGTGAGAGGAAGCCACTGCAGGGTGGAGGGAACAGTGCGCCTATGGGACCGAGAGCAGGCAGCTGCAGATAGTGAGGGTAGACGGTCCTAGAATGACCCCTTCATCCATCATGAACCCGGGCCACATAGGTGAGTACTAGGCGGGTATCTGCACCACAGCTGATACAAAGTATGCAGCTTTCCTACTGCGGTCAACTCCAGGGGGTCTGAAAGTCATGTCCTCTTTTTTTAAAAAATGGCTTGTGCAGCCTGAGGGACATGGCAGGGTACATTCAACAATGGATGTGTCCTTGTTCTTGGTGCTAGGGACTGGGCAGTGGAGAAGAGGTGGCCCCTTCTCTCCCAGACAAGTAAACACATGTACAGTGTAATTACAAAGTGTGTTGAAGAAACACCAGTGCTGTTCACAGGAAAAAATGGGAGTCCTGCCTTCATCAGGCTGTTCAGGCAAGGCTGTTGGGGGGTGGGGGGTGGGGGGGTCCAATGCTATCCTCAATGTCGAGAACTAACATTTACTGAACCTGAGTAGGTCCAGTGCCCTGTGCTGTATACACATAGGATTGTTGAACCCCTTTGCCTGCACAGGGCCCTATAAGGCAGGTCCACATCATACTCTTTCCTTGATGAGGCCCTGAAGCTTGGAAAGACTGCTTCACACGGGGTCAGTTCAAAGTCAGTGCCTACCTTTTACCCCCTATACTACGCTGTCCATGCCATCCACCAAAGCAACACAAAGGGCAACGCAAAACTAGCCTCCTTCGAGCAACAAGTTGAGCAGCTTTGCTCTTCCCTAGTCCTCACAGAGAGAGCACCAAAAGTCAGCTATAGCTTTGAAAGATCGAAGATTGCGGATAGGCGGCAGGCAGAGACCAATAAAGGAAAGCTAGACGCTATGCTATGCGTGTAGCCCCTGGAGTGCCTGTTCGCTGAGGGAAAGAGGCAAACTACCTCTCCAGGTTTATGCTGCACCTTAGACTGCCGTGTCTCTTGGGGTAACAGGCTTTTGAGCCTGGCCACCAGAGTTGCCTGAATGGGTAGAGGAGCCACAGCTGAACAGATATGCCAGACGAAAGCCATGCAGAAGTCCAGGCCCTGAAGGAGGCCCTGTGTTGTCCTTGTGCCTGAACCTGTCCCCATCCCCATCCGATGAGATAGCCCAAGTCACCAAGAGGAAAGAGTTGATGCCCCTAGCCCTCTCTGCATTCGGGGGCTGGTTAGCGGCCCCAGCATCCATGGGAACTTGTACGTTTGTCTTTGAAAGTAAGAATTTGGGTTCTGGCCCCAGGTCTGAGGTGTCTTGGGAAAGACATTAACATCCCTGAGCTTCTCTCACCTCTTCCATAAAAGGAAAAATTCCAGGGATGGTGCTGGCATATACAACACATGCAATAAATGGGCATTATTGATGAGGTCAGCTAGTATTGTTATCAGTTAATATCAGACCCATCAGTGAAATGTCCAGAAGCCGGCTGTCTGGCTTCACTATCTCCTTGTGGCACGAAGTAGGGCTTTTCTGCCAGAGTTCCTTCCTGTACAGGATGTGGCGGCGTGGTGTTGTTTCATTTTGCTTTTATTTTATTTGTGGAAGGATGGCTGTCTTATTGTTTAGAGAGGGCTCTCCTAGCCTAGGCTGGCCGAAGACACACCATGCTGAGAGTACTTTGAACTTGTGCTCCTTCTGACTCCTGAGCACTGGGATCACAAGTGTGCTTTATGCAAGCCAAGCCTGCTTTATGCCGCCCTAGGGACCAATCCCAGGGCTTCGTGTGTCCCAAGCAAGCTTTCTACTAACCAAGCCACACCCCACCCTGCATTAAAAGTTTCTCTTTTAATTTTTATTTGTATTTCATGTGCACTGGCATTTTGCCTGCGTGTATGTCTGTGAGGGTGTTGGATCCTCCAGAACTGGAGTTACAGGGGTGAACTGCCATGTGGGTGCTGGCACCCCAGGTCCTCTGCAAGAGCAACCAGAGCTCTTAACCATTAAGCCATCTCTCCACCCCCTAAAAGTTTCTTTATAGGGTTCCCCAGGGTCACTGGATATCATGTGTCATTACTGATAATCTTGCTCGTCATGTCCCCTTCCCTCCTCCCCCCCCAGAAGCCCCCCTAGTCTCAGACCCTAGGTAACCCAAACCCAGGTCTGGGGTTCCAGCTTCCCCCCCCCATCTTCCACAGGCTGACACAGGTCCCGAGGCACCCAGAGGAACTGGATCCAATCCTGCCATCCACTAGTCTGCTGGGGAAACATGGGCCACAGAAAGTCTCCTTGGGGAGCTCCAGGCAGCCTGGGTTGACGTTTCCCGAATATTCCATTGGTGGATCATCTCGCTCACTAACTTGGGACTTCATGGACCACCAAGCCTAACTACAAACATTTTATGAGAATCACTGCACCCGCCATCCTTATTTTTCACCAGAAGAATCAGAGAGAATCAGTAACGTCCCCAAGACAGGCCGACGAATAAGGGGTAGAGCCAGACTTGAACAGACGTTCCCTGGTCAGGTTCTGCCCCCTTCACACTGTGCTCTGTGCTGCCATGACGTGCCTGGCATTTGTACTCAGGTGGGAAAAGAAACTAAAATGTCAACTCACTTCAAGAGGGTCTATTCAGCTGGGCTCTAGGACAGAAAGGAAAGGCCCTGTGCCCTGGGATTTGCTCTCTCAAGCACAGGGCTATTTGAGAGAAGCGGATAGTACAGGCATTGGAGACCAGAGAACAAAGGACCCTGGAATAGCAGCCCCAAAGCCAAGGGCCCTCACCCTGCCCCCACCCCACCCTAGGCAGTCTTGCAGCCTTCTTAGACGGGGGCTTGCAGTCTCTGCCCCACAGATGTCCTCCCAGGCCCCGACTCCTTGCAGACCTATCCCCAGTCCCCACCACCCATCATCTACAAGCCTCCCACGTTTGTGCTGTCTTGCAAGATCCTAGATTTTGTCTAACACAGAATGGTTGCAAAGCACCTGGGAGACCTCCAGACTTGCGGAGGGGCTACAGTTCTGTAGGTGGTGGTAGAGGGCAAGATGGCCTTCACGGAGGGCAGAGGCTGCTCTGCTGACTCAGGCATGAACTGCGCTGCCCCCACTCCATGCACTTAACACCCCCCCCGTGTGCGTGTGCGTGTGCGTGTGCGTGTGCGTGTGTGTAGACTCGAGGTGCACACATTATAGTAGGACTCAAATATTCAGCTGGCTGACTACAGAGGGTGTGGCCTAAATTGCTCTCATCACTGATTGGCTGCAGACTGGCCAGAGGGTGTGGCCTGACTTGCTCTCCTCACTGATTGGCTGCAGACTGGCACTCGCAGCTGGGTAAGCCACTGCAGTCCCAGAGAACGGCATGGGGACTTGAGTCACCCAGGCACAAACAGCAACATGGAAG